GGACACCTCTTCCTCTCGGACCCATATTCCACTGGGTACCCAGCCACACATACCAGAAAAGGCCACTTTTATGCACTAAAGAGCAAAGCAGTATACCCAGACGCCCCTGTCCTCCCAGCTGCAGAGGCCGGGCACCCTTCTATACCCTGCTGGTCTCGCTGCCTCTTAGATCTGAGTCCCCAGGGCACCTCCCCAGCTCCCCCCATCTGCTCTGGGCACTGCTCTCGGGTTAGTTTCCCCAGTGAGTGCCGAGGCACGGCCATCACACTTGGCAAGGCTCTCCTTGGGGCTGGGAAGAGCAGAAAGAAGGCACAGGGCAGAGGCTGAAAAGCAAAGTGTACCCGGGACTCTCTCCTTGGCAATTCCTCTCTCCCACGCAGCCCACACCCGCCACAGTGGCCAGCTTATCTCCTCCAGACCAGGCCCAGGAAGCAGGACAACGTTCGGGCGCCCTGAGAAATTCGCCCTCTAGGACCACAGACGGCCACGCTGGGTAGGCGGGCTCTCTGGGAGTCGGACTTCTCCATTCCCCGCCAGCCTTGCCGTGACCTTGGTAGAGGAAACGGACTCAAAATGAGTTTGGGGAGGTCAGCGGGGCCCAATGGTGCGGGCGGTGAAGGCACACACAGAGGCCGGTGCTGAGCCTGAGTCCCTCCCCTCCCCCTCTCAGGCTCTTGACACACTGGCCTCCTTCCCATTCCTCCAAAAAGCCACGCTCTTCCCTGCCTCCAGGTCTGTCCACACCTCACTCAGCAAACTGCCACTCATCCTTCAGGTGATAACTGAAATGTCAGGGGACTGTCCCGACCCTGCCCTTCCCCTCCCCCAAATTACACTCCCCAAGGCTTCCTTTCATAATCCTCTGAGACAGATCCGTTCAGGTGTAGGTGCTGCCTCTCCTTCTAGGCTCTCGTTCCCTGGGGACAAGGCTCTGTAGGATTTTAAAGTTCACTTGGGTACCTGGGTGGGTCACTGATTAAGGGAACTAATCGTGGGGGCAGGGGGACCAGTTAGGAGGACAATGTGGCTGACCACATGGGAGAAGACAACTGCTGGAACCAACATGGTGGCGTTGGAGATGCGGAGAAGTGAATCCTGACTTTAGGACGGAGGGAGTTGGAGACTGGGGGTGGGGGTGGGGGGGAGGGTGGTGCGGGGCAGAAAGACCTAGTAAGAAGGAACATGCCAAGGAAACGGGCCCTTCTCAGGGCCAGAAGGAAATGAATTCGCTGTGGCTATGAAGTAGCAACATTCAAATGACAGACTTTTCAACCTAAAAATGCCTTTGAATTGGCCTAACTGGTTTGGCTCAGTGGATAGAGGGTCGGCCTGTGGACTGAAAGGTCCCAGGTTTGATTCCGGTCAAGGGCATGTACCTTGGTTGTGGACACATCCCCAGTGGGGGATGTGCAGGAGGCAGCTGATCAATGTTTCTCTCCCATCGATGTTTCTAACTCTCTATCCAGCTCCCTTTCTCTCTCTAAAAAAAAAAAAAAAAAAATCAATAAAATATATATTTTTTAAAAATGCCTTCAATGGGGGGGGGGCAATGTTAAAATATGTACACAGATAATAATTTAAAAATAAAAATAAAAATGCCTTCGAATCAAGATATCACATCTCCCCTATAAGATGAGCCTTAGGTTACAAATGGAATGAAGTCACCAGCGCAGGGTCACGCGATGGAGCCAGGATTGCAGGCCGTCTCCCCAATGGCCTCCACATCCCGTGATCTTAAGCCTGCCCCGGAGACACGTCCACACAGAGCACTGGGCCAAGTGTTGGCGGTCTTAGGAGTGTGACATGTGGAGAGTCCCACCCAGAAGGGAAAGGCGCTGACACCTGCCAGCTAGCTTACCTCAGCCTGAGGCTGGCGGTGGCCCAGCTGGTGCGGAGGAGGTGGAGGAGAAAGCCCGGCCAAGGAGAGCCCGGCACAACAGGGCCTGGCCCCGTGGCCAGCGCGTCCACGATGTTTTCTCAGCTGCACAAGGTGAGCACAGCCTCTTGCTAGCAAAGCAGGGGCCGGAGGAATAGTCTTGCTTTCCTCTCCACGTCTGCCTCGTGTGTTCCTACATCCACCTGCTGGGTGGCATGGATTGGGTGGCTGCTGCACCTGAGACCTCGGTCCACGTGGCCTATGCTGACCCCAGGGGGAGGGTCTCACCTCATGGTGCCAACGCCTCCTTCACAGGGTCTCTTCGGCCAGTTGACGCCTCACTGAGGGGCCTGGCAGTCCCTCCTCCCGCAGCCTCGGGAACCTTGCTGGTCACTCCAGTGGCCGGGCATTGGCATATGGACTCCACTCTCACTCTTTGGGTTGCAGTCCCTCACGGAGCTCTGGGGACCTGTGCAATGCTGGGGTGACCGTGGGTGCCTTCGGAGGCTGCCCTCTGCCTGGACCCAGACTGCCAGGTGCTCTCTTCTAGACTCTAGAATCTAGAGTCAGCGCCAGCTCTGGCCACACCACGTGGGTTCCCAGCTGAGCCTCCTCTGCCATCCTGTTCTCCCAGCACCGAAGGCCCTGCCCCATGGGAGGTCCCGGCATCAGTGTCCATCTTTCCCCATAGAGTGTGGGCAGCCATCACCAGCCGGCTGCTCCCAGGCAGTGCCTGAGGGACCCTGGTGAGCACGGGGATGTCCGTGTGTCCAGGAGGACCCCCCCTGGCACTCATTGCTCTGGATTTGGAGTGGGAGGTAAGAGAGAAGACATGTCAGGACAGGGATTGGGGAAAGGGAGGGGAATTTTCACAAGTTCCCTGCCCGGCTCTCCCTGGGACAGCTGGACCATGAGTCTGCCCGGGATTGGCCCCTCCTTGGGACCAGGAGGATAAATAATAGTAAATGTCAGACAGGTGCGAGGGGAATACACAGCCAGCAAGCCTGCCAGGCCGCCTGCTCCCCTGGGAAGGGGACACCTTTATAATGCTTTCAAAGTGGCAAACCCATGTGATTCCCGCCCCCCCCCCCCCAGACCCTGCCCTACAGTAGGCAGCCTACCCTACCCTTTCCCAGGGACAGGACTGCCCAGAGCTGCACAGTCCAGTAAGAGAGCGGCAAGCCTCCTGGGGCGATGGAGCCCTTGAAACAGGGCTAGTCTAAGGCACACGGCTCATCTTCAACAACCCATACAAAATGAAAGACTGAAATAGCTCATTCAATCATTTGCATATTACAGTGAAAACATTTAGGGTTAAGAAACAAGTTTCATGTATTATAGTAGCGTCGGTTTCTTTTCACTTTTTTGACGTGGCTACTGGAAGCTTACATTGCATACGCGGCCCATGTGACGTTCCTCCCGGACAGCACTGCTCTCCAGCTGGGACTGACCCCCTACCGCCTCCACAGCACGAAGCGAAGAGAAGCCTGGACAGGTCCGGCAGAAGCCCTTTGTGAGCTGCTGGTGGGAAGGTAACTTTGGTTTTGTTTTCTTGTCTCTCCCAAACACATCAGGAGGAGAGAGCGCAAGAGGCACTCATTTCAAGGATCTCCGTCCAGGAGATGGGTGGCGGCCTCCAACCAGCTCCAACCGGCAACCGCCTCAGCCCACCCAGAGCGCATGCGGTGCGTGGTGCCAGGCTCACGGTGAGAAGCAGAGCCCTGACCATGTCCGCTTACACCTCAGGACCCTCCGTCGGTACCTCTGATGAGACCCGGTACCTCCCATGGCATTCAAGGCCCAGCCAATCTTTTGCGCTTCATCTCACATGCTCCCTGCTCGAAGCCCCGTCAGCTCACACTTCATTCAACAAACACTTACTGGCCACTGCCTATGTGCCAAGCACAGTGCTGGCGGCTGAGGCCACGATGGTTAGTGAAACAGGCATACACGTGTACCCTTTGGGGACCACGTGTCTAGTGGGGGCTAACAGGTAAGTGAATAAGGAACATTACAGCACATGCAATGTCAGCAGTTGTGGAGGAAGCACAGGGACCGTGGGCACATCCAACAGGCACCTCCACCAGGCTTGAAGTCAGGGAGGGCTTCCTGGAGGAGGTAACTCTCGGTTAAAGAAGTCCTGTTGGCCAGACTGAGGCTGGGGCGTGGTAAATATCCAAGGCAGAGGGAACTCTGGGTTTAAGAATTAACCGGAAGGGCAGAGCAGAGGGCAGAGCATGCTGAACGGAACTACATGCATTCTGGCAGGAGGGCAGGGACCAGAGGCAATTAGCTGGCCTTGTGTGTGTGGCAGGGGCTTGTGAGCCTGGTGAAGGAGTGTAGCATTTATCTGGAAGTTTATTCTGCAAGTGTTTTAAGCAAGGGAGCTCCTGTTTCCCACCGAGTGCCTTTTCCCCTCCTTCCTGTGCTCAAATCCTGCCTCCTCCTGCCCCACAGCGGGATCCACGAGGCTGGGGGAGGGGGGACGGTGATGGGGGCAGGCAGACCTGCCATAGTCAGGCACTAGATGGAATTTTGAAGGAGAATGAGCTTGTGGGGGCCTCGGCCCAGGGAAAGTGCCAAGGGCTGGAGGGACTGGGGCTTAGGGACCAGCTGGGGAATTTGGGGCTGAGGCTCATTCTGAGTCCGGATTTGGGATTTGGGGGCTGGATTCAGGAACAAGAGGCAAAGCTGGCACTGCGGTGAGAGTGGGATCCAGGACCTCATCCCAGAATTTGGAGCTGGGGTCAGGTGAGGAATTTGAGCTGAGGTTCCAGATTCAGGGCTGGGTTTGGGAGCTGGGATAGGAATTCGATTTGGAAATGAGGCTGGGGGGTGGGACTGGGTTTCAGGGTTCCGGGTTGGGCCTAAGATGTGGGGTAAGATCTGGGGTTGGCGCTAGGAGTTCTAGTTAGGGCCTGAAACTGCAGCTGGGACTAAATCTACGATGGGGTTGGAGCTGGGGGAATGGATTAGGGCTCAAGCGCTGGGGCAGCATTTCTCCTGCTGCCCAGGTCGGGGAATTCTGCCGGAGCCCTAACAGCAGCTGACAGAAGCCCCTCCCTCCCCAGGAATGCCTCTGCTGGAGAAGGAGTGCCACGTCAGCCAATCAGCTCCAGCCCGGGACTAGGAAACACCTGTTGTTGATCTCCCTCTCCTCCCCACCCGCCTCCCAGGGCGCACAGGGTGCAGGTTAGGCAGGTGAGCACCTCCCCGGAAACGGAGCTGGAGCGCTCCACCTGCCGGGCTCGGATTGGATCCAGCTCTCCCAGGCTTCTCGTGAGTGTCCCTGCCCCCCCCCCTCCCCGCCACCCACCCACCCACCTCCGTCTTCTCCCACTGGCTCGGCACCTGAGCGCCTGCCCGCCCCCCCCCCCCCCCCCGCCCCGTCCCAGCACACCTGTGCAAGCACTTTCAGACCCGTGAAGACACCGCCCTGGGGAATGTGGCACTGACACCAGCGCCCCTCCCACGGCCCCTTCTCCATCTCCCTTAGGGGCTTTGACACCTGCCTCTCCTGCCCGGTGCCGGGCTGCCCTGCAGAGGGGTTGTGGAGGGTTGATGCCTCACGTGGGGTGTAACCCTTGTACAGCCTCTTAGTCACATTCCGGAAGTGGCCCAGGGTCTGGGTCCTGAGTATCTAGCAGGAGGCCCCTCCTGAACTGGAGGAGAGAGCGGATGTTGAGTTTTTTTCTTCAAAAAGCATGCTCTGGGCATCTGTGCGGGCCCCAGAATTCCCCCTGAAATTCTGAAATTGGGATATCAAATGACTCACCCTCCCCACCGCTCAAGATAAAGGTTTTGTCCTCGATTTTTGAGATATGGAGCCTGACCTAACCGGTTTGGCTCAGTGCATAGAGCGTCGCCCTGTGGACTGAAGGGTCGCAGGTCCCAGGTTCGGTTCTGGTCAAGGGCATGTACCTTGGTTGCTGGCACATCCCCAGTAGGAGGTGTGCAGGAAGCAGCTGATCGATGTTTCTAACTCTCTATCCCTCTCCCTTCCTCTCTGTAAAAAAATCAATAAAATATATCTTAAAAAAAAAAAAAAGATACGGAGCCTGGGGCTCTAAGAGGTGAACGCAGGGGAGCTTCCCTGACCCTCCCCCAAACCCCTCTTCTGATTAATCCACACCCAGCATTTATGGCGAGAACCTGCTGTAACGGAAGCTCCTTGAGGGCAGAGACCCTGGGGTCTCGGGGACATGTTAAATGGGGAACCGCTCTGAGGTCCCTCACCGAGTTCCCATGGTGTAAGGACTGCAGCTGGGTTTCAGGTCCAGACCATCTTTCCCTTTGCACAACTTTAGAAAAATCTTGGAGGAGAAGGATGGGGAGGGGGGCAGGGGGGGGAGAGCTGGGGGACAGGAAGTCCGTGAGGAGGGGGTGTTGAGGAGTCGGGAAGCAGTGGGGACGGGGCAGGGACTGGGATGGAGAAACGTCTAGAGGTGGCCTCCCTGGGAGGTGCACACGTGAGGAGGAGCAGGTTCGGGTGAGATGATGAGCTCGGGTGGGACCTGTTGCGTCAGAGGTCACTATGGGGCATGAAGGTGCCAGTGGCTTATGGGTCAGGAGCCCAGGAGGAAGGTTGGGATTTGAGGGCCACGGCTGGGAGGTCGGATGGGGTGTCGGGGGAAGGAGGGTGTTAGAGGTTAGATCCTAACCTGCGGAGAAGGGACCACAGCCCTGAGAGAGAATATTCAGGGTCAGGCTGCTGGTTCCAGAGGGTTAAGTCACCCCCCCTCCCCTCTCGTCCCCTCCCCCTTCCCCTAGGAGTCAGTGGTGACAGCTGAAGCCATGTGAGTTGGGTCCTGAATGAGGCTTTATCTCGGGCTCTTCGTCATCGGCCACCGGCCACCGTCCACCATGGCACCAGCTCCCTCGGCCAGCTGGGATGGGACAGGCAACTGAGAGAGCCAGAGAGGTCAGCTGGGGAAGGGGGTTCCCCGGAGAGGTGGGGGTGCTTTCTATGGGGGAAACTCTCCCGGGGTCACTGGGGAGGCTTTCCCAAGCAGCAGTGCCGGGGAGGGGGATTTCTTGGGGGGGGAGATATTCCAGGGGACCTGGGAGGGGTCTCAGGGACAATCCCCACAATCACCACAGCCTCCAGGAGAGACCACGGGGCCCAGGCGGGCTGGGGAGCTAACCACAGTGACTCTCCCTCACAGACGATGGTGACTGTGCCCCGGACCGCGAGAGGAACAGGACTCCGGGCTTCCAGCTGCCAAGCAGGTGGCGGGCGGGGGCTCCAGGCCATGACCCATGCCCTCTAACCGCCGGTGCCCTCTGCCCTGACTCCTGCCAGACCCGGCCATGTCGGAAGGAGAGGCTCCCGCCCCACGGGGCCGGGCGCTGCCCCCGGACGTGCTGGCGGAGCAGGTGGAGCTGTGGTGGTCCCAGGAGCCGCGGCGATCGGCGCTCTGCTTTGCCACGGCCGTGGGCCTGGTGGCCGGCTGCGGGGCGGGCGGCGTGGCGCTGCTCGCCTCCACCAGCAGCCGCTCGGGCGAGTGGCGGCTGGCGGCGGGCACGGCGCTCTGCCTGCTGGCCCTGCTGGTGCTGGTGAAGCAGCTGATGAGCTCGGCCGTGCAGGACATGAACTGCGTGCGGCAGCCCCAGCACGTGGCCCTGCTGCGCAGCGGCGGCGGCGCGGACGCCCTGGTGGTGCTGCTCAGCGGCCTGGTGCTGCTGGCCGCCGGCCTGACGCTGGCCGGGCTGGCCGCCGCCCCGGCCCCCGCCCGGCCGCTCACCGCCATGCTGTCCGTGGGCATCGCCCTGGCCGCCGCCGGATCGCTCCTGCTGCTGGGCCTGCTGCTGTACCAGGTGGGCGTGAGCGGGCGCTGCCCTGCCCTCCGCGCCGCTGCCCCCTCCGCCCGCGGGGACCACGGCGGCAGCATCTTCAGCATCTCAGGACGGCTCTCTGCCGGCCAGCGTCAGGAGACCACGTCCAGCATCGCCAGCCTCATCTGACCCCCCGGCCGGAGCCCTTGCCACAGCTGCTGCCTCAGCCTCCTGGACCTGTGCTGGCATGAGAGTGCGTGCGTGCGTGTGTGTGTGTGTGTGTGTGTGTGTGTGTGTGTGTGACTATGTGTGTGCACGACCCCAGGCCTGTCCAGCCCTTCTACGGGAAGGTGAGTGTGTGTCTTCTTGGAACCGGGTGTTGTGTCCGTGGAACTGTCAGCGGCTGCCTGTCTGCATCGGGGGGGTCTCCAGGCAGACAAGTGTCTGGGGGCCCCCGGAGATTCTCGGCTCGCTCCTATTCCCAGCACCCCTCCCAGCGAGCACGCATCGGGCGCGTCCCCCAGAGCGACTGCTGCCCACCCCGGACACCACACCGGCGAGTCTTCGCGGAGGAGAGCCACGGGTGGCGGAGCGGGCTCCGGAGCGTGTGGGCCTGCGCTGGGATCCCCCTCTGCCCCTTCCCAGCTGGGGAAGCTGGGCAAGTGACTCAGCCTCTCTGCGCCTCCGTTTTTGAGAGCCATGGCTGTGGTCGACGATGCTGAGGGTCGCGTGTGGAAGGACTGGGAACAGTACAGATGTGCATTAAAAGTGGAGGCTGCTGTTACTCTGACTGTTACTGTCTTTCTATCCCCATCTCACCTAGAGACCTTCCTTCCCCTTTCTCATACCCCCTCCCCCACTCAAAGTGAACACTCGTGCTTATTCTGTGCCAAGAGCACCTTGGAGGTGTCCTCAGTAAGGCCTGGGTTCCTCCTCTCAGCTGCTGTGAAGCTGAGGGGAGATGGGAGCTGAGGGGCACTGGCTTCGGGAAGATGGTGGGTTTCTGGTCTCATTAGCTCATGTGCTGGCTCACAAGGAAGCTTCGGGTTTGAGGTTTTGTCAGCTGGTGACTGGGGAGGCGGTAACTCCCTACCCACCCCTGCAACCGGAACACCCTGGTCCTGGTTCTGGTCCTGGTCCTGGTCCTGGTCCTGGTTTGGTCCTGGTCCTCGTCCTGGTCTTGGTCCTGGTTCTGATCCTGGTCTTGGTCCTGGTCCTGGTCCGTGTCCTGGTCCTGGTCCTGGTCCGTGTCCTCGAGGCACTGGCTGGCCTGACTCTGGGCTCCTGGGCACAGAAGGGCTGCTTGAAACCCCCTTGGGTGGTAAGAGTCACTTCCTGCTTGAGATCCACCCGGGAAGGGATCTCCCCTTCCGGTGCAGGAACACTTCCTGGGTGCCCAGTTTCCCCAGAAGAGCGTTTCATCACTTCCTGCTTCGCAAGGTGCAGATGTGGGCAGCACCTCAGCGAGCAGAGAGGTCGGGACCAGACGTGTTCGATGTAGACCTACCTGCCAGGGCTCCCGCAAGGGAGCATTGCTTCCAGTGCCAAGATCGAGGCCGTCCCTGGAGACTACACCGAGCTGCTGGAGGAGGTCAAGGGTGTTCCCACCCGGGGAGAGAGCTCGGGAGCAGAAGGAATAGGGCGTGTCCGGGAGCACCAGGTATCCCAAAGGGCCTCAGACTGCCATATATTCAACGTGGAACCCCTCTTCTCGCTCTTACACTAGCCCCTCCATCTCCCCATTCACGCAGCATCCAGTTAGAACCCTCAGCCGGCCCAGACAGCACCTCGCTCTCCCTCACCCTGTGCCCAGCACACACAGCAGCTCCCGCGGCCCTCCTCTGTAGATGGTCCTGTGATACTCAGACCTCCACACTCACCGCCCAGACAGTCCGCTTCGTCCCGGCCTGTGTGGACAGCGGCCTCCCTGCTGTTCTCCCTGCTTTTGTTCTTTTCTCCTCTTACATGCAACTTCCCCTCCCCAGCTTCCACGTGTACACATGGAGCCCCAGTGACTGTGTTAAAAAAAAAAAAATGCAAATTACCTTGAGATCCTTCGATGGCCCCACCTCTTGCAGGCTGACGTGCAGACATTAGCAGATTTGGTCTCTCCCTTCTCGAATCATCCCATGAGCCAGACACACTCGACTCCTGCTGGACCTCACCATGTTCTCTCCCCTCTCCCGGCCTCTCTGTGTTCTTTCCTTGCCTTCATGACCTTCCCCAAGACTCAGTTCTCGAAGGCACCACATTCTCTGGGAGTCTTCCCTGACCCTCTCCCCTAAACGAGAGAGTTGCCCCTTTTCTAGCCTCAAACCCTCAATTGTAGACACCAGCCTGCAATTCTTTCTCTGTGCACCTGTCTCCTTAATTGGGTGGTAAACTCCTCCTGGCAGGGTTTGGGTCTTCTCCCCTGTGTGTCCCTAGTTCCCAGCACAGGCCTGACACATAGTAGGTGCTTTGTTGGATGGCAATGTGTGTGCAAGGATCAGGGAGCGACCAACTATAATTGGGAAGGATGGGGAAGTTAGGCTGCTGTCCACTGTTGGCCCTGACGCTCCTGAGGCCCCCCCACTGCCTGCCCAAGACATCCTGGCTCTTCCTGGAGGGAGCAATCACTGTCACCAACTCCTGGGCCATTCAAGGACCACAGAACACCTCTCCATCCCGTAACATGGGGAGGAATCATGTTTCTTTTTGGCCAAGCCTGCGTTAGACTCTTCCATAATATTTATTTTAAGAAACAAAAGGAGCCAAAACCGGTTTGGCTCAGTGGATAGAGCGTCAGACTGCGGACTGAAAGGTCCCAGGTTCGATTCCGGTCAAGGGCATGTACCTTGGTTGCGGGCACATCCCCAGTAGGGGGTGTGCAAGAGGCAGCTGATCGGTGTTTCTCTCTCATCGATGTTTCTAACTCTCTATCCCTCTCTCTTCCTCTCTGTAAAAAAATCAATAAAATATATTTTTTTTAAAAGAAAAGAAAAAGAAACGAAAGGAAAACAGAAAACAGAGGCCAGAAAATGGGGAGGGGGCAGGTTACATGGCACAGATGTCTGGATGAGCAGCTACTCAAGGCAAGGCCTGTGCCAGGCATGAAGAATATAGTTTGTGCCCCCAGATGGCCTGCTTCAGAGAGCAGTGGGAGTAGACATCCGCATACCCATCTGGAACAGAAGTTGGGAGGGTAAGAGCTGGGTCAAGCACAGGCAGGGCAGAAATGCTACTGTTTCCTCAATTACTTCAGCCCACCCACCATCTCCCGTCTCCAGCCTGTTTGCTCAAAGCACTTCACAAAACCCCATCTTGGTCCACATTACAACCAGCTGGCCACCGGCCCCTCTGCTCTCTCTCTAAAGCTTCCCTTCCTGCCCTAGCAGGTTTGGCTCAGTAGGTAGAGTGTCAGCCCACAGACCAAAGGGTCCCAGGTTCGATGCAGGCTCAATTCCCAGCCCCGGGTTGGGACGGGTGCTGGAGGCAAATCATCAATGTGTCTCTCCCATGTTGATGTTTCTGCCTCTCTCCCTTTCTTCCACTCTCTCTAAAATCCAATGGAAGAATGTCCTCAGGTGAGGATTAATAAAAAGTAAATATAGCCAAAACCGGTTTAGCTCAGTGGTTAGAGCGTCGGCCTGTGAACTGAAAGGTCTCAGGTTCAATTCCGGTCAAGGGCATGTACCTTGGTTGCGGGCACATCCCTAATAGGAGGTGTGCAGGAGGCAGCTGATCGATGTTTCTAGCTTTCTATCCCTTTCCCTTCCTCTCTGTAAAAAATCAAGAAAATATATCTTTTTTTAAAAAGTAAATGTAAAGCTGCCCCTTTCTCTCTAACCTCCCCCTCCTGCCTTTTCCTCTTTTCTGGAGATGATTCTTCAACCCATCATTTCGCCCACTCCTTCACAGCATCCTCAACTCCTTAGCCACTTGCCCTTTGGTCTCCCAGGAAACCACCTCCATGGACTAATCCACGCACTGGCCTTCACTGCACCTGCCGCCTCTAAGTGAGTGGTTAGCAGAGAAAGCCAGGGAGCAGGTGTCACCAGGAATTCCTCACCACCAGTCTCAGCTCGTGGGCAGTTTCCTTCGTCAGCTGTACCCACAGTGACCCTCAAGTTACCTCCATTCCCTTCACATCCTAGCATCCCCTGACATCCCCCTCTGCAGGTGGCTTGACCTTCCACCTCATGAGACTGAGAGTCCTATGGAAAGAAGCCTTCACATGGCTCCCACCAAATCCCTCCTCCTTACTCCCTTCCGGGCAATGACCTTGGCAGCCCAGCTGAGGAATTTGGACTTTGTCCTCAGGACTCTGAGAAAAACACAGGACGAACGTAATCAGGGTAGTGAGGATAGGGTTTGGGACTCGCTGGCTGCATATGGAACCAGGGTTAGGTCTCCAAGAAAAGAATAAGGAGAAATGGCCAGACAGCCCCAGAAGTGATGTCGCCGCTGGCCCAAGGGGTGGGAAGAGTGCCCTAGAAAGAAGAAATAGCAGAAGGATCTAGGGACAAAGGAAAATAGCTCCTTCAAGGAACTACAAAGGGTCTGGCCGGTGTGGCTCAGTGGTTGAACATCGAGTTATGTTTGATTCCTCATTAAGGCACATGCCTGATTGCAGGCTCGACCCCCAGGGGGCACATAGGAAGCAGCCAATCAATAATTCTTATAATTGATATTTCTATCTCTCCCTTGCCCTTTCTCTCTGAAATCAATAAAAATATATTTAAAAAAAAAAAAAGGAAGCACATCCTACATGAGACCTCGGGCCTTCTGGGGTCACTCAGGTCTCCCCCGAGGAGCTTCCTCCAGGCTGCAGGGGACTGACACGTGCCCCTCACCTCAGCACTCTGCACAGGACAGGGGCCGCCTTCCTGACTGTTCTCGGACCGGAGAGACTCCCCTGGGAGTAGCCATGGAAGTCAGCCCCAGGGCCTGGAGGGACTCTCAGGGACGGAACAGACCATTCTACCCTCACAGCCAGCTCCCAAACCAGGAGCTTGCACCCCGACACTTCTCGGCCCCCCTCACTCAGGGAGGGAGGGGTGCCAGCCCCGGCAGGATGAATGCATGCGGTTCCTTCTCTGGGTCTGTGATCATTACTTCAGACTCAAATAATGGCACTATTGCTGAGTAAAGAAGCAAGTTACAGTTCCGTGGTTTGAGCCTCAGCTTCTCGGTGTATAAAATGGGGGTGCCTTCCCAGCAGGACTGTGGTAAGAAGCTCTAGGACATCGGTGCTATCGTTTTTGTTGTTCTATAGCAGTGGTCAGCAAACCATGGCTCAAGAGCCACATGCGGCTCTTTGGCCCCTTGAGTTTTTAGCAAAGGCCAACTTAGGAGTATACTCTAATTAAATTAATAACAATGTACCTACTATATAGTTGAAGTTTAAAAAATTTGGCTCTCAAAAGAAATTTCAACCGTCGTACTGTTGATATTTGGCTCTGTGGATTCATGAGTTTGCCGACCACTGTCCTGTAGCATCAGAGACTCAAGTCCTTCTGTCCTGACCAGATCTGAGCTGAGTTCTGGGAAACAGGGGAGCTCAAACCCCAGCCCAGAAAGTGAGGAGAAAGGGGGCGGGGCAAGCTCCTCCCTTAGAGTTAATCCTGGTTGTGGGAGAACCACTTGAGGAATGATTGCTCTGGGGAAGAGCCCACAGGCAAATGGCTAACAGAAGGCTGGCTCAGTTCTACTTTACTTATATAACTCATTTAATCCTAACCTGGTGTGCCAAGTACTCTATAATCCCCTCTTTACCGAGAAGAAATTAGAAGAAATTAGTGCAATGAGGGAGTAACTTGCCCAAAGTCACACAGCTCACTAATGGCAGAGCTGGATTTGAATCCAGGGAATCTAAGCTCTCAGCTCACCCGCTCCTCTGCTGGGGCTCCTTAAACTTCACGCCTGTGGCTTGTGTGCACCCTGTCTTTGGCCTCCATGTATGAACAAGGGATCTGGTTCTGCTTTGGGGGACAACAGAACAAGACAGCTGGGAGCCGGGTTGTCCTCCACAGCCAGGTCTGGGTTGGGGTTCCCAGGACAGAGTAGGAAGAGAGAAGAATAGAGAGTTAGAAACATCGATGAGAGAGAATCATCAATCAGCTGCCTCTTGCACCCTCCCCTGCCCCTGGTCTCTGCCGCTGCTGGGGGTACAGGACAGGGTGCAAGGCCAAGGCAGAGGCAGCTGCAGCCAGGGCCTCTACTAGAGGAGGACAGACCAGAGCCAGGTCTGGCTGAGTCCCAGGCCTCCCAGCACGTTCAGCATCCCTGGGCTCCTGCAGCTGTGGGCCCAGGTCACGCGACCTATTTGTGCACGGGGCCAGGCATGTGAGCACATGGCAATGATTCCTCAGAGGAATCCAGCAAGGCCACTCAGGACAAGGTTCTCGTGATCCCCCCGTTCCTGCTCAGCCAGGCTTGCCCTCCAGCAGGTTCTGAGAGGCGGCTCTCCCTGCTGACCCGGACTGGGGGCGGCGCTCAGGAAACACACGGACCAGGCCCATACCTTCTCCTGGATCCCTCAGACATCTTGACTCAGGTCCCTGGGAATATGTGCACACAGGGCCAGCTGAGCTGCTTTCTGGCCCAGAACTGCAGGCAGGACAGCTCCTTCGGTTGGGCCTGCGGGAGCATTCGGTCAGGGGACAGACCCACTGTGTCCGCAGCAGCTCTCCCCTCGGAGCCAGGACATGTCCTTGGCCCCTTATTTCTGCCGCTCGGGGTCCTTCTCCAAGTCTCCGGCTGGGGCAGGTGCGACCATCTCGGGACCAAGGAAAAATCGCTGGAGTTGGGGCTGTGTGTGCTGGGCGTCCCTCCTCCCCGGCCTCCTCTCCCCTGCCGGCAAGTCCTTAGATGTCAGTGTTTCCCTACTCTGTTCTCAGTGCCTCTCAACGCCACTTCCAAAACCTAAACCAGCCAAAACCGGTTTGGCTCAGTGGATAGAGCGTCGGCCTGCAGACTGAAAGGTCCCAGGTTCGATACCGGTCAAGGGCATGTACCTTGGTTGCGGGCACATCCCAAAGGGTGGGGGAGGGTGCAAGAGGCAGCTGATTGATGATTCTCTCTCATCGATGTTTCTAACTCTCGATCCCTCTCTTCCTCTCTGTGAAAAATCAATAAAATATATTTAAAACAAAAACAAAAACCTAAACCAAACCACTCCCAGGGTCTCAGCAACCCGACGCGATCAGGCTGACTGTTCCCAAACCCATGTCTGCTGACAGGACTTCTCCCCAGTGAATCCCAGCTGCCCCAGGGCACCTTTCCCTGGAAATCCACATCCGGCACCGAGTCCACATTCCCAAGAAACCTGTTCCTCCATCCAGCCCCGAAACCAGGGCAGCTCCCCGGACTCCTCCCGTCCCCACAGCCGGTAGGCAGCCAAGCAGAGCTATCAGCCCTGTCCCCTTCCGTGTGTGGAATCTGTTCCCTGCGCATTAGTCTCATCTTAGTCACTTCTCTCCTGGTCTCTGTCCTCCAACCCAGCCCTGCGCAGCAGCCACAGTGACTTTCCTGTCATCATCACATCACTCCCTTGCCCAAAAACGTCACAGATGAGCCTAGGTTGCTCTCAAATTGAAGAGCAAGCTATCTTGGCACCAAGGCACTACCTCTGTGGTCGGCAAACTGTAGCTCACGAGCCACATGCGGCTCTTTGGCCCCTTCAGTGTGGCTCTTCCACAAAATACCACAGCCTGGGCGAGTCTATTTTGAAGAAGTGGCGTTAGAAGAAGTTTAAGTTAAAAAAAAAAATTGGCTCTCAAAAGAAATTTCAATCGTTGTACTGTCGATATTTGGCTCTGTGAACGAATGAGTTTGCCGACCACTGCTCTAGCTGATCTGGCCCACGCTTGAGCTTCATCACTGCCATGAGGCTGGAAATTCAATACATTTTCCAAGTATTTATTTAGCATCTGCCTTGTGCAAGATTCTGAGGACACAAATGAGACATAGCCTGTGGCCTCATGGCACCCCTCAAACCCTATGCTCCAGCTCCAGCCCTCCTGCCTTTTTCTCAAGTTAGTCATCCCTCCCTTTCCTTCTCTGCTAGCTCTTTCTAAAGGCTAATGCAGCATCCGGGTGGACACAATGTGGATGGCTGCCTGGTTCATGACTTCCCCTTGTCTGGGATTGACCTGGAACAGACAGGTGGGCTTCCAAATCACATATGTGCTATAGGTAAGGTGACCAGATGTCTCGATTTTTAACAATTTGTCCTGCATCCCGCGGCGTTTTAAAAAAGTCCCGATTTTTCCAAAAATTGGGACTTTTTTAAAATGCCGCAGGACGCGGAATTGTTAAAAATCGGGACTGTCCCGCCAAAAGCGGGACATCTGGTCACCTTAGCTATAGGAGCCTGCTCTCACTGGTCACAGCTGGCTGGACCTGTGGTGGATACTGGATCCACACCGGGCCAATCAGATTCTCTCACCTTTGTTCTTAAAACTCGGAACTGAGAGTTTCGGAGTCCCAGGCTCGGAGTCTCATCGATACCCATACATGACAAAGCATTAGAGGTACCATGCCTGACCTCGGGCTGCTGGGACTACCTGCTTCCTGTCCTCCCAAGTCAGCTGTCCCTTTAATTCTGTGCAAAAGCCAGGATTCCTTTCCATTGCTTGCAAAAGAAGCAAAGGATGAAGCTTCACTGTCTCCCTTGCCCCAATATTCCACCAGCAGCTGTGACCCTAATCTTTTCCTGACAAGTGCTTAATCAAGTTTTTCACAATCAGCTGCACTCCCTTACCCTTCTCACCTACGTACTCCTGAGTCCACAGTAATTCAATAAACTTTCCAAGTATTTAGTTAGCATTTGCCTTGTGCAAGACTCTTGAGGACACAAATGAGACAGAGCCTGTGGCCTCAGGGAGCTCACAGTCTAGCTGTAAGGACATGCACAGTAAAAAAGAAGTGCAAATTGCAATAAAGATTAAGGTAAAATGTGGCAAGGGTGATGGGAGAGAAGCTCACAGGGTGTTATGAGAGGGAGGGGCTCACTGGGGGTGGGGCAGGGCCCAGCAGTATCTTCCAGCTCCGTAACAAAGAACACTTTGATGCACCAGTTCCAGGTCAGGAAAATCAAAAACGAGCAGCTTTTAATTTTTATTGGAAATAAAAATAGATTTATTAATACCTGTCAAAAACAGAATATGTTATAACTATTTAGATTACACACTTTATTGATAGGGGAAAAAATTCAATAAGAAACTTGGCACACTGATTTTCGTCTGCTAAATGTTTTATCAACTGATATATAATAATAACTAGTTAAGCAGGAAGGATGCAAACCAAGAGACGGACAGAGGCCTCATTTCCATAGTCAGGTCCTTGATAGGCTTTATCCTGAGAATAGCAGGGAGCCATTGAGAGTTATTGAGCAAGAGAGGGTCATTGTCACTTTGGTGGCTTGTGTCAGAGATGGAAGAATTGCTCAATCCCTGGTGAGCCCTTAAATCCTAGCCACCTCCATCCCTGAGGTTCATTGTATTATAGTATTTACAATTCTAAAGCTGTCCGGCAGGGGTGTCCAAAGGTCAGGGTTCAGAGGGAGAAATGGTGCCTGCTACCTTCTGTCCCCAGCTCGCTGGCCCCAGGCTGAATGTAATTGTCCTCAATGAAGCCATCATCATCATCATCTTCACCGGCCTCCGGACAGATCCCCTTCCTTGTCCTGGGCAGTGGGCGGTGCTGGTAGCTGATGCGGTACTTGCGGCAGAGGTGGCATTTGGCAGCAAGCGCAATGAGGAGAGAGAGGACCACAGCTCCCAACACAACCCCCACCAGCACAGGCCATGCCCGGGCCCCAGAGCCTGGCCCAGGGGTCATGGCTGATACCGTGGGGAGTCCCGAGGGTCCCACAATGGCTGCAGAGAAAGGGACAGCATTATGAATGGGCTCCAGATGGGCTCCCTAGGGAGACCAAGAGGAGTGGGGGCAGGGTCCTTCCTCGAACCCCAGCATCTAAGGGGAAACCGCCCCCCTCTTCAGCTTCCCTCACTGCTACTCACTCTGGTTCGTGTCACTCATGGAGTAGCTGGAAGACACTGGCTTCAAGCAGGTCCCAGGTGACAGGCAGCCCTGGGGCACAGATCCTGAAACATACACACACATGTGTGGCTGTCAGGGACGGCCACGGGGCACACGTAGCACGCCATACTCTCAGTCGCAGGAGACTGGACAACTAACAAGGAAGTGGGGTGGGGGGTTAGATTGGTGCTTTAGGCCCATCACTCTGGGGAAATGGACTAGAGATGGGGCCAGACCAGCTGGGCGGTTACTGTTAGAGTTAAGGTACAAGATGAAGGCACCTTGGACTGGGGAAGTGGTAGTGGGTTGAGAACCACTGATCTAGACTCAGAAATACCTGAATGGGGAAGGGGGGGTGGGGGAAGCAACACCAGAATCTAGGGAGTATATAGAGGAAGAGCACCTGGGTTAGGGAAGTACCTGTTGGAGGACCAGCTGGGACTAGAGATTATCTGCAGGTGAAATACTTAAATCAGATACTCCTGGGGAGAAGTATCCAACCTAAGTACCTAGGACAGTGGTCGGCAAACTCATTATCAACAGAGTCAAATATCAACAGTACAACAATTGAAATTTCTTTTGAGAGCCGAAAACCGACTTCTGCGCGTGGGCCACGAAGTTTCAATCCCACTGTACGTGGCATTTTGTGGAAGAGCCACACTCAAGGGGCCAAAGAGCCGCCTGTGGCTCTCGAGCTGCAGTGTGCCGACCACTGACCCAGGAGATAGGCACGTAGTTTAGGGGCGTACTCCCCCATAGTCTTTTATACCAATACTTTAACGAGACCTTCCCTCCTCACCACCAACTTGTCACCACGTCCATCAGTTCTTCTAAATACCCCTGGAATGACTAGTCCCCTCCTTGGCAACCCACTGCCACCTCCCCAGTCCAAGCTGCCTTCATCTTGTATCTTAACTCTTACAATAACCTCCCACTGGTCTGGCCCCATCTCTCTAGTCCTTTCCCCAAGTGATGGGCCTAAAGCCCCAATCTGACCCCCCTCACTCCCCTCCTTAGAAATCCTTCCAGAGCTCCCCACACCCAGTGCTGCATGCAAATTCCTCAGCCACGCAATCCAGCTCAAGGCCCTCAGGACAAACTCTTCTTCCTCTTCCCACAGCTCCCTCCCACCCCCACACAGACACCTCCCACCTCACCCATCCTCTTTCCCAGTCACCCCCTCCCTTCTCAGTTTTTTTTTTTGTGTGTGTGTGTGTGTGTGTGTGTGTGTGTCCACCATCACCAATGCTAAATCAGGCCCCACCAGTCGATGGTGAGGTTGTACAGAGCCCCTCGGTGTGACCCCTTTCACTGGCCTCAACTGTGAACTACCAGTCAGAACTGGCCAGTTACTAGATGGGCAGCTCCCTGGGGGCAAAGACGGGCTGATGAAACCTGTGCCCGGGACTGGGGACTGCCAGAGAGCTTGGCACTCGGCTGCTCAGAGCCAGTTTGTGAGTTGAGTGAGGGACAGAGCTTAGAGTGAAGCTGGGAGTGGGGGAGAGGGCAGGGACAGAAGAAATCAGAACGGAGGGGAAAATGAATAACATTCAATGGGTGCCTCCTGTGGGCCCCACACTGTGCACTGGGTCCTCAGAAAAATAAGATTCCGTTACGTTGAAATGAACTGAGCTCCACTTGACCTTTCTTTTACTCTTGTTCCTTTCCTTCCTACCCTGACCCGGTGGTTTCTTCCCAAGGACATTTCCCCACACCCACAGGCAGTCCCCACACCTCCTCGGATCCTCAGACACACACACACACCCTGATTTGTAGCTCCTCTCCTGCTCCCAGGAGCCCTCGGGGATTTGTGGGCCCCTCCTCCCAGCCCCCCAGTGCTTCCCCTCTGCTCCTCACCTGTAGGAACTGTGCACAGCCGGTGGAGGAAGCTTCCGGCTGGGCCTGCAGATAGTGGGCGGGCCAGCACCGCGCCTGACTCACCTGGGGACGCAGCCGGTGGGGCAGAGGCTGCCGGGGAGGGCGGAGGGCAGGGCAGCAGGCAACGCCCACAACGGGGAGGCTCACTAACTACATCTTCCCCTGCTTTTGCGGAGAACCTGACAGCCCAGGCCTCACCCCCACCCCCATCCCTGGGGAGAGGGGGGTGGGCTGGAGCTGTTGGGATCCTGAGAGGAAGGGGTGGCCCTATGGGCCCTAGAAGGGGCGGACACTTCAGCGGGCTGCGCTCAGGCCCAGGTTAGCTGTGACTTTCCCATGACAGGTCCAAAGTCCGGAGCTGAGGAGGAAGCTTTGCAGACCTGGGAAGGCGGTGGGCCGGAACCGCGAGGCAGGGGGGTTGGGCATTCTTTCCGGGCAAAGCCAGAGAGGCCAAGGACACACTCAACATTGCCTGCAAGTGTGTGTGTGTGTGTGTGTGTGTGTGTGTGTGTGTGTGTAGAGTGGATGTGCAGGTCCATGGGCAGTGTGAGTTCAGAGGTCTTTTGGGGATGGTATATGTATCTTTGCGGGGAGGGGAGGTTATGGTGTGTATGTGTTTAGAGGTTTTAAGCCTTTCACCTGGATCTCAAGGATCCTGTGACCCCACAAAGCCAGGCTCTGAATCTCCCTTTTGTTCCACTCCTTGTCCTTGAAGATATGGGTTCAGGAGTCACTTTTCCCTGAGCCCCCAGTCTACCACTGCCTCAGACAAGCTCGCTCCCTCCAGGTGGCGATGTCCCAGCATTCTCTCTCATCACTCTCTCTCCTGCATGCCCTGCACACCCTCTGTCACAGCATTTCTCTGTGTATCTTGTAATGATTTCGATAGGGGCAGAAATAGAATACTGGGGCCCAGCTATGACTGTAAGAAATCTTTTTTAAAAAATATATTTTATTAATTTTTCTTACAGAGAGGAAGGGAGAGAGATAGAGAGCTAGAAACATTGATGAGAGAGAAACATCAACCAGCTGCCTCTTGCACACCCCCTACCGGGGATGTGCCCGCAACCAATGTACATGCCCTTGACCAGAATCGAACCCGGGACCTTTCAGTCCGCAGACCAACACTCTACCGCTGAGCCAAACTGGTTTCGGCTGATTGTAAGAAATCTTAATCATCGCTGCGATGGTTCTGTTCCGGTGAAAGAAGGCGCGTCTAACCTGGCTGGGAGTTGCACGTGGGACCTGGGAGCTCACCTGGACATGCGGCCCATGGCCCACCCTCCCCGTCTGTACCCTTTTGCCTACTTCCCCACGTAATCTTTGTCCTTCTACCCAATATAAGCAGCTGGCTTATGGTGGGGGCAGAGCAGACTTTTGTGGATGACCTGCTGCTCTCCCATACTGCCGACAGTTTTGGAATAAACGCTCATGTGATTCAACCCTGTCCCTGCTTAATTGGCTCAAGTAGGGACTGGCAGCACGGACTCATTGATTGTCCGGTTATAATTTCTCCCTGTGCTGCCTCCCCATTAACCCAGCAGCTCTGTAGGGTGGAACCAGGTTTTAACAGTCTCCGGGCTGCCGGCGCCTGGCACAGGGCAGGCTCTCGGTGACTGTGTGAGGGAGGAAGGATTGTGTGAGCTAAGTCATGAGGGCACAGGACTTCACGGGGTCCCTCGGGCCACAGCCCCAACAGGGGCTGCGCCCAGGGGTTGCAAGCGGGGCAAGCCGGAACTGTGGCTACAAAGTGGGGGACCTTGCAGGACTTTGGAATTTTTAACATGGAATCTGAACTCTCCCAATGGCTCCTTCCTAGGTCTCCCACCTCACCTGGTGCTTACCTTTCATGCTCTCTCCTCCAGCCTCACCAAACTGTTCTCTGCTCCTGGAACCCACCAGGCTCTCCTCTCCCAGGCTCTGCATGCCCAGCTCCTGGGGCCCCTCCCCTCTCTCCTTCAGCCCCTCCCCCAACGTGTCCATCATCTCCCAGGATAATTTTCCCCAGACCTACTCCTCACTCGGGCCCTAGTTAGGTGCCTCTGTGTATAGATGGCCTTCCCCTACTCTCCTAGTCTGGGTTCCTCCTCCCACCCTCGGTGCCTCCTCAGACCTGGCGCTTCTCTCCCTTTGCCCTGACCACCACTATTGCGTTTTTCTCTATTTGGTGGGGCCTCTTGTGAGCTTGGAAACTCTGGGGCTAGGGTCTGCATCTGTCTCATTCCTCTTCAAGTTACCAACATCTAAAACGGCACCAATAACTCCTTCTGAAATAATCAGAGGAGAGTGAATGAAAGACGAGACAGAGGGCCGAAATCCAGAACTACAAGCTTTATTAGAGGAGAAGGATGCCTTTGAGTGGAGGAATGGGGAGGGATGGGCTTAGGGTTACTTGGCACGCGCTGATTGATGGTTTCATATCAGGCACATGATTAGGCACTTAGGTGCTTAGGAACCGGGGGGGCTTAGGGTATTTGGCAGGTGCTGATTGGTGGGTCAATGTACAGTCCATATAAGGTGCCTGGTTAGGTGCTCATGAATGTCCAGGCCGCAGGTGCAGATTACATCATGCTCCGTCCATCAGTTGGGGGAAGGGAGGATCTATCAGTGAATACTACCCGTAATGGGACAGTGAGAAGCCGGGAAGTTTTAGGGTTTTGCTTTTGATTTTGAAGCAAGGAGATCGTGGGATTCAAAGGGTATTCATTGAACACCTGTACTGTTTTGTCTGTTTGTTTTTAAAATTGAGGTATTTATAAAACATAACCTAGTTCACATCACACAAATTTCACCATTTTAGTACACAATTTAGTGGCACTGAGTATATTCAAAAGGTTGTATAGCCATCACTGTATCTAGTTCTAAAATATTTTTGTCACACCAAAAGGATACCCCTGCCCATTAAGCACTCACTCATTTCCCCTGTACTCCAGGCTCCAGCAAATCTGCTTTCTATCTCTATGGATTTGCCTGTCCTGGATATTCCCTACAAATGAAATCATACCTGTGCCAGCTTTTTATTGAACTATTTCATTTAATCTTCATAACTAAACTATTAGATATTAATTAGCCCGACAATCGATGAAGAAAACACAGCCATAAGAAGGAAATTCGCAAAACGTTCCACAGAATAAAGCAAGGAATGGTTTGCACATCCATTTATTTTATGAGTTTTTATTGATCACCCATCACAGAGCCACAGCCAGCCCATAGACACACATTGGAATACAGCAGAGGACAACCTGTTGGGTCCCCCACAGCACGGCGAGCAGAGATCAAGCTGGATCTCAGCACCACTGGCCCCTCAGCCAGAGCTCTGGTGCAGGGAGCAATCTTTACCACCTCCCATGGCAGCCCTGGTAACTTGTGGTAGGCACTGTGCTAGCTGCTGGGAACAGAATTCCCGCCACCATACAGCTTTCATTCTGGAGGGGAAGACAGACAATACACAACAAATAAATAAGATCATTTCAGATCCTGGTGAGGGCTATGCATAAATCCAATAGCTTCGGGTGATAGGGAGCTGTGGAGGGGGCTGCTACTTTCCATTCGTCAGAAAAAGGGAGGACTCCCCGAAGAGGGGATGTTTGAGCTGAGATCTGAATAAGAGGGAGACTGCAAACATGCTCATCTAGGGGAAGAGCATTCCAGAAAGTGGAAACAGCCCTGATAGGCAGGAGCAGGCTGGCTTGTTCAAGCAACATCAGGAGCCCAGCTGGATGGAGCACAGTAAGTGGGGAGACATGTGAAGAATAACTGGGGGGGCTGTCAGCTCATGGGGGGCCTCATCAGGTCCTTCCCTCCACGAGATGGGAAACCACTGATGATCTAAGCAGAGGACTGGGGGAATATTCTTTGGCGTCTGTGTAAAGAATGGACTAGAGGAAGCCAGGGTAGAAGCAGGGAGGCCAGTTAGGAAGCTGTTACTATCGTCCAGGAGAGAGACTGTGGTCTCAGGGTGCTCTGGTAGAAATGGGGAGAAGTGCTCAGGTCCTCGATATTTTTTGAAGGTGAAGGCTAGGTGATTTGCGGACTGGATGCTGGGTTTGAGAAAAAGGAAGGGACCACCAAGAACTCCAAAGTTTTGTCCTGAGCAGCTAGTAGGATAGAGATGTCCTTTACTCAAGTGGAAAGACTCCAGAAAGGAGAGGTTTGGGAGGGTCACCAGGATCTCATGTTAGATGTGAGATGCCTGAGAGATATCCAGGCAGCATCCTAAGTAGGCAATAGCATAAATTTGGCCATAATGCAGGGGGAGATTAAGGCTAGAAATAAAAAATTTGGGCAGCAGCAAAATGTGGATGATTTTCGAAGCCAGTTCTCTAGGTGAACAGAGAGAAGGCTGAGGGCTGACTTCTAGAGCACAGCAGGAGGGAGAGAGGGGCTGAGGGGGAGCAGAAAAGGAGACCGAGGCATGGTGGGAGACAGACGTGAGAGAGTGTCCTGGAGACCAGAGAAGAAAGTATTTCAAGGTCAAGAGCTTGGTCAGTTATGTCAAATACTGGTGATAGGGCAACTGAGATACAGATTGAGAACTGACCTTGAAATTGGCCAGGTAGAGGTCACTGGTGACTTGGGTAAGAGCAGTTTCAATAATGTGAGGACGAATGCCTGACTGGAGCAATAGAGGAAGTGGTGATCACTTCTTCAAAGAATTTTGCTATAAAAGCATCAGAGAAGTCCTGGCTGGGTAGCTCAGTTGGTTAGTGTTGTCCTTATACAACAAGGTCGCAGGTTTGATTCCCAGTCAGAGCACATACAAGAATCATCCAATGAATGCATATGTAAGTAGACCAACAAATTGATTTCTCTTTCTCTCTCCTCCTCCTCCTTCTTCCTCTCTCTCTCTCTCTCTCTCTCTCTCTCTCTCTCTCTCTCTCTCTCTCTCTCTCTCTCTCCCTCTCTCTCTCAAATAAATAAATGTTTAAAGGAGCAGAGAAGTGGTGCAGACACTAGAGGCGAGGGTTCAATCATGGAGGATTTTATTTTTTTAGGCTAGGAGCTGTTATACCATGTGTGTAAGCTGGCCTGAATAATTCAGGAGAGAGAGAAAATTGATGATGCAGAAGAAAGAGAGAAGAGTGTGAAGTCCTGAAGGACATGAGAGGTATGGGGTCAAGTGCTCTGGTGGAGGGTTGACCTTGGGCCAGAGCAGGGAGAGTCCCTCTGAGGAAGGCGGAGCATACAGTGAAATGATGGGAGCCTTAGGAAGCTTTCTTCCCAGGACTTCTGTTTTTCCAGAGAAATAGGAAGCAATGTCATCAGCTGAGAGTACAGTGGCTCTGGGTTCAAAGAGAAAGAAAAGGTGTGAATTGGTCATCCAGAGCCTGCCAGCATGGGATAGGCTCACAGGTAGCACCTTGGAGTGAGTGGTCAGTTAGGGTGACTAAGTGTCTTTGTTTTCTAGCCACTCCAAGTGCAGGTGGGGGAAGATGGAGAGAGGGTGGGATTTGTAGGCAAGCTGGGCCCAGTAATGAGGGAAGTGAGGAGAGGATGGGGAGGTGTGAGGAACCCTGAAAAAGTGGTAGGATCAATGGATTTTAGGAGAAATTGCTGGTGGACTGGAGAGAGTATGTTGGAAGAGTAAGAAGTGAAGAGCAGATGGCGGCATAAGGAAAAGGAGGTTACCAGGAGATGCAATTCTTGATAAAGACAAGCCCAGGGATATGAATCTTCGAGTGGTTCTAAGGTGGAGCCTACAGACCCATGGGGGTCTTACTGTTATCTGAAGCGTGTGATTAACTCAACCTTCTGCATCAGATATCATTCTCATGATAACATGCTAGCAGGCGTCCTCAAACTTTTTAAAGTGGGGGCCAGATCACGGTCCCTCAGAGAGCTGGAGGGCCAGACTATATGAACTACTAATTCCTACTGTAACACCTCGGCTGCGCTCACTGCCCAAAAAACCTGGCGGGCCGGATCAGACTCCTCTGCGGGCCGTAGTTTGAAGACGCCTGTGCTAATGGCTCCACTAATACATGGCAGAGTCAGTATTCAAACCCATGTCTTCTGACTCTAGGCCCAGCATCTTTCCAGTTATATATCCCAACGACATCCCTCTGCTCTGTTAAACTAAAAATGTTTAACTTCCACGGCTGTAAGTCTTTTATGAGAAAAGTTTTCCCGAGCCAAAATGCTAGCCCAAGGTGGATCCTTAGGCATGGAGTCTAAACCACCAGCAGCATGGCTGCATAGAAAAGGCAGCACGTCCCCATCCCTGAGTTTTGCAAGCCTTTTATACATCAAGTAGGTGGAAGGGAGAAGACAGGTATACCTGCCTGAAAGAACTTCCCTGAGCTATAGGTAAAGGGGTGGGGGAAGGTAAAGAGGGCCAGCTTTGGGATAGCTAAGTCCTCATGAAGAAATATCCATGTCTAGCCAAAACTGGTTTGGCTCAGTGGATAGAGCATTGATCTGCGGACTGAAAGGTCCCAAGTTTGATTCCAGGCAAGGGCATGCACATGGGTTCCGGACACATCCCTGGTGGGGGGTGTGCAGGAGGCAGCTGGTCTATGTTTCTCATCGACGTTTTTAGCTCTCTGTGGAAAATCAATAAAACATATTGAAAGAAAGAAAGAGAGAGAGAGAGAGAGAGAGAGAGAGAGAGAGAGAGAGAGAGAGAGAGAGAGAGAGAGGAAGAAAGTCTATGTCTATACGTCACAGGGGCATCAGTCTGGAAAGCCCTTTTGTAAACAAGTGGGTAGGAGTGGAGGGCTGGGAAGGGGGGATGCACTCCTGGCATGAGATGGGGCCTAACTAAAATAATTTTGGGAAGTAGCCATCTGGAAATTAATCCAAAATTCCAACAGGCGAAACAGGAGTGTGAGAGTCTCTTGTTAGCCGGTCTGCAGCCATTATAATAGACTAATACAATAGTTCCTTCTCTTTCTCTCAGTCTCCGGACACTGTGAATTAATTTAGAACATCTCAGAATTTCTTTCTTAGTGGCTCCCATGAGTAAGATTTGCAATCAAAGTGTTTGAATCCTCACAGTCATTTGGAGTGACAGAAAGCTATCACTGCCTTTCAAAGATCTGATTATATTTCCCGAAGGAAATGGATAGTGAGCAAGAGAAAGAAGGGGGTGCCTGGATTCCCCGCCTCGCACCCACTTCCTCCCCCATCTGACCCAGCACCTCCCTGCTGTGGACCGGGGTCTTCGCCTTAGGGGTAGTGTAGCTCCCTTTTGAGAAGCTGATGGGAACAGGGACATGCACATGTACATCCAGTCACAAATAGGCTCACAGGCCTGGCATGTACAAGGTGCCCAATAAAAACTGTCTGATGAGTGGTTAGATTTCCACGGGGCTCACTCACTCCCTCTGGGTTAAGAACTGGTGTTAACCCTTTGCACGCTGAGTGCAGGAACCTCTCTTCTATTGTGAACAGGTGCTCCTTTGAGTAGATAGAGGACTCCTTCTTCTCTGCAAACCTCTGAAGGGACCTGCCTGTTTCCAGCCACTTCCAGCCACTTCTTCCAGCCACTTCCAGCCACTTCCAGCCTCCTGGCTGTAGAGTCAGCAGCTCCCTAGGGCTCCCTGCAGTTCAGCCCCACCCTCCCCAGGGGCTGGCCTTCCCCATTCCTGCTCTGCCATTGATGATGTGGAGATGCCCCAGCATTTAGCAGGGACTGGGCTTGAAACTTGATGGAAACATGCGGCCCACAACAAATATTTTTGTGGCCCAGCCAATATAACGGTATGTAAGAAACGTTTTAATAAAAGCTCTGTAACTTAATTTTTACAATATCCAATTACACACAATTATGAATAACAAACTACAATGTTCGCTAATGACTGATGACTATAATCGTGTTGCATTCGTTTCCCTTACACACCTTACGCGCAAGCGTACCATGTCTCTCCACTAATACCAGCAGCGAATATTTTAGCAGTCGACGGCCATGTCATTAGTCTTGTGTTAACTTGTTTGGTGTGCGCAACAGGAAATATTTCGCTTTTGGAGAACAAGAAAAATGGGTTTAGCCGAAACTGGTTTAGCTCAATGGATAGAGCGTCGGCTTGGGGACTGCAGGGATCCGGGTTCGATTCCAGTCAAGGGCATGTACTTTGGTTGTGGGCATATCCCCAGTAGGGGATGTGCAAGAGGCAACTGATTGATGACTCTCTCTCATCGTGTTTCTAACTCTCTATCTCTCTCCCTTCCTCTCTGTACAAAATCAATAAAATATATATATTTTTTTAAATGGGTTTATTTGTGTTACGCTTATTCATTTGTGCAGTTATTCAGTGTCTGGTAAGTTAATGTTCAAGAAAAAAGATTAATTTTTGTTAAAATTTTATATTATTTTAATGTTAATGATTACTCATTTATTTCAGCCTTTTATATTCAGCATGTCTCTCGAAATAAACCTACATTTCTAAGAAAATTAAAGCTCTTATTTTTTTTGTTGTTTTTTTTTTTGCAGCCCACATAAACTTAAACCTTGTTTATTTGGCCCGTGTTAGCCTATATATATATATATATATATATATATATATATATATATATATATATATATATATATATGTAATTTATTGATTTCAGAAAGGAAGGGAGAGATAGAAACATCAATGATGAATCATTGATCGGTTGCCTCCTGCACGCCCCCTACTGGGGATCAAGCCTGAAACTTGGGCATGTGCCCTTTCCCGGGATCCAACTTGGGACCCTTCAGTTGGCAGGCAGACAGCTCCATCCACTGAGCCAAACCGGCTAGGGTGCGTGTTAGCCTTTGAGTATGACATGCATGCACTAAGGTAAGCTCAAAGGTTATATCCCCGCAGGAGCTTCCCAGACCCAGGCCTGAGACTGAGGAAATGCCTTGAGATTGCAGCTTCTAGGGTTTGCTCACTTCCTCAAGGCGGACGAGTCTGTCAGGTATTCCATGAAGCCCCGAGGGAGAGCTCACCAGGCCGCTTACAGCCCCAAACACACCACCCTGAAACTCCAGTGTCATTACCTCAAATGGTTACCACATCAGATCCAGCATCCAGGTTCACGGGACAACTTCGTCCCCAGCCACCAGCTCCATCCTGCCACCGTGGATACACAGACACCAGGCGCACCCAGTGTGACGAGGCAGCAGTCGGTGCCCCTCCTTGTTCAGTTATCTCTGGGGTAACTGGGTCTAGGAGGATCAAAGCTCAGCAGACCTGGCAGGGGACTGCCACACCCTCAGCAGACGGGTGTCATGCCAGGCAAATGGCCAGAGGTGGCCAACCAGCTGGGCGGTGTCCCCATTGTGGTATCCCCTCCCCGCACAATAGGAATAGTCATCTCTCCCACAGTTATGGGAATCAGAAACGTCCTTCCCCACCTGAAACCCCTAGAGTTTGGGGAGATTCCTCTGGTGGCAGCACTACGTAAGCCAGGAAGGAGGCATGTCTCTCCATGGGGCCCAGAAGCCCACTTTCTCCTCTTGTTGCCCCAGCACCCCTTCATCAGGGTGGAGGCAAGAATGGAAATGGCAAAACCCCAATATATCTTTAGGTCCAAAGGGTGGGAGTTGGGGGACTCTGCCTTCAGAAGTTTCCCTCTCGTACCTGTGTCAGAGGACTGAATCATGAGGTTCATTGTGCTGTCGCTAGCTTTTATCCTCACACAACATTCAAAGTGAGACTGGCCAACCAGGAAGCAATCCTGTGATTCACCCAGCCTGTGGATGCTGCTGGAATGTGTGGCTATGGCCTGGGGTGGCAGCTTTCTCTCATAAAATGTGCTTTGTATTCTAAGTAGGCTTGCTGCGGTTTGAAGCAGAGAAACAATGAGTCATTTGTGTCGGAGGCTATTGGTTCTAGGATTTCAGAGTGACCCGGGGTGAAGCAAGGACCGGGTGTACCTTAAAGGCAAGACACCCTGAAAATTGGTGCCTGCCCGTCTCTGCTGGTCCGTCTTTGCCTTTTAAAGGGGCCCCGCTCCATCATAGCACAGCACAGAGTTGGGCTTATTATTTTCCCAGAATAAAATCTCTAGTGCTTTCTAAGTACATACCGATTGGCTTTCTGAAATCATTTTTAAAGTTAGGAGGATTACATTCATAGCTGCCTCCTATAAATGCCAGCAGAGACTTTTAACTGCTTGTTGTCTAGGTGAGACCATCGAGCAGGCCTGGGATCAGAGCCGAGCTCCACCACTTAACTAACCTTAGAAAGCAGCAATGTCTTCTTCCGTAAAATGAGGAGAATAACAATGAAACCTACCTCAAACAGCAGAGCGTCCATGAGGCGGCATCAGGAAAGGTTCCCGGCACCTGCGAATGTTCAGTAACTTATTCCTGGCAATGGAGGTGTGTTGGTGTTCCTCGTAAGACCTCTGCTTGCTTTATCAGGCACGTTTCATGCTGACCAAGGCCAGTGAAAGTCTGCTGTGCTTTAAATAGGTCCTGAGCTTTGAACCTCCTGAGCCCTCTGTGAGGTGTTGATTCCAGCTTCTGGCCTCGAGGGGTTCCTTGGGGCCAAATGGTCTTTGTCAAGCAGTTTGTGCCAAAGGGAATGCATTCAGAGCTTTGTTGGATTAACTGGGGCTTCCTTTACATAAGGTAGGGGTGTCGAACTCAATCAGAGAAGGGGCCAAAATCTAAAATCCAGCCTAAATCTCGGGCCGAATGGTTTACTGAACAGTCATAAACTGTCATTGTGATGGAAACACAGCGGAGTGCAGTGATGACAGCGCGGTGCGGGCCACATTGCAAGGCCTGGCGGGACGGATTTGGCCCGCGGGCCTTGTGTTTGACACATGTGACATAAGGGCTTGTTTTCAGGAGTTTTCTTTTCTCAACAAGGAGAAAGAGCGCCATCGCTTCCCAAGTCATCTACAGTCTTCCTTACAGCTCATCATACACGCCTGGCACCTCTTTTCAGCCCGGAGTGAAAACACGCATGCTCACCCGCTAACTTCAGGCACAGAGCTGCAGCCCACGTCCCAAGAGCATCTGCTGACAACTTCCTGTCCCTAGAGAAGTATTTCCTGAAAGAACAGCAAAAACTGTTTTTGAATTGACATGTGGCTTTAGCTGCTCCTGAAGTTAAGTGAAAGTGCCATTGTTACCAACTATGAACCTAAAAATGAAAAGGGAAAAGTATTACCGGTACTTTTTCTTTTATTTTCCTTTGCTGATCAACATGAACAATTATTTCTTGGTAAAGTTGATTTCAGGCAAAGACAGGACTTAAGAATTGTTGCCTATTTTATTTCAATAAAAAGAAAACTTTGTAATGTTGTTTGAGCAACATTTTACAAATTTCTTCACAAAGAAATTGTGACAAACAGTAGGGAGTTAAAGCATTTATGAAATATGTAAAGATACCCACATCTAGGGTTGCACATAACAAAGAAATGTCTTAAATACTTTTCAGAATATTCTAGGAGCCAAGACACAAGGGCATGCTTTAGGAGAACATAGGAATGTAATGGGGGAGGGCAGGCATATTGGGACTACCCATTTCCTTAAAAATCACCAAGGAAAACAAAGCAGCATTCAACTTCGCATACTGGTCTTGCACAGTTTATAAATAATAGCATGACTTAAGTCCAAAAAGCAAAGATGGGATTCTCACTTTGTTTATTTTGAGAAATAAGTGCATTGACACCCAGGTAGTCTACTCTTGTCTGACAGGCTTCCGTGGAAGGAGTCTCTGCTACTTCAAAGAGGACCATTTGACACTTCTTTTCAGGTGGCCTTGATGTCAATTTTGAGGGACAACTTAGAGAGCTTAATTGTCTTCCCCTAAGTCAGTGGTCGGCAAACTCATTAGTCAACAGAGCAGCAAACCTCAGCTCACGAGCCACATGTGGCTTGAGAGCCAGTTTGCCGTCCACTGCCCTAAGTCAACCAGCCTTAAATTTCACCAGTGTGTGTGTGTGTGTGTGTGTGTGTGAATAATTTGCACAACAATTTCACCCAAATGGGTATCAATTCCACCATTTCTGCAAATAACAAGTGATGTGCAAATAACGTTATCTTTTCCAGAATTTTTGCCCATTGGATTTTATGTTTTTATTGATTCCTAATCTATGAATTATAACTATTTTTGACATTGTCTCTTATTTTTGCCTCTTAGGGCTTTTCTTTTATTTGCTGTAAATTTCATTAATCTTTTGTTTTAAGGTCTGTGGGTTTTGAGGCTTTGTTAGAGAGGTTACCCATTCCAAAGTTATAAAGTAATTCACTGATGTTTTCTCATTCTTTTATGGGTTTGATTTTTTAAAAATATATATTGATTTTTTACAGAGGAAGGGAGAAGGATAGAGAGCTAGAAACATCGATGAGAGAGAAACATCAACCAGCTGCCTCCTGCACACCCGCTACCGGGGATGTGCCCACAACCAAGGTACATGCCCCTTGACCGGAATCGAACTTGGGACCTTTCAGTCCACAGGCTGACGCTCTAACCACTGAGCCAAACTGGTTTTGGCTGATTTTTTTGGTTTAAATCTTAAACCCATTTGGAGTTTATCTTAATATACATGATGTAAAATATAGATCCAATTTTATTTTTATAGACAGGTACCAGTTGTTGCAACATCATTTATTAAAAAGACCAACTTTTCCTGCTGATTTGAAATGCCACTTCTCATGTATGCTAAATTCCTATGTGCATTTGGGTCCATTTCTCGTTTTTCTCTTCGATTGGTCTGTTTTGCTGCCAGTACCACATTGCTTTAATTATTGAGACTTTATATATAATATGTTTTATGTTCCAGCAAATCTTGGTGTGAAATAAACCACCCAAAGCTTAGTAATTTTTTAAAATATATTTTATTGATTTTTACAGAGAGGAAGGGAGAGAGATAGAGAATTAGAAACATCGATGAGAGAGAGTCATCGATCAGCTGCCTCTTGCACACCCCTATTGGGGATATGCCCACAACCAAGGTACATGCCCTTGACCGGAATCGAACCCGGGACCTTTCAGTCCCCAAGCCGACGCTCTATCCATTGAGCCAAACCGGTTTTGACCCAAAGCTTAGTAATTTAAAACAACAATTGTTTTACCCAATATTATCGCTCACAGTCTCCTTAAGTCAGGAATTCAGGAAACTCTTGGTGGGGAGATTTTCTTTCTCCTCACGTAGCTTCAGTATTTCTCAGGGTGGTCTCTCTGCATGAGTTAGTCCGGGCTTCCTCTCAGCACGGTGGCTTCAGTGAAGTCGGACAGCGTAACATGGCAGCTCAGAGTTACCGTGCAAGTGCTTCCAAGGACAAACTAGAAGCCGCCTCACCTTTCTGACCCACGCAGCATCACATCCTCTATATTCATCTGATGACGAGACAGTGCCATCCAAATCCTCTCAGTGGGACAAATGTCAAGGTCACATTGTAAGAAAAACATGTGGCACAGAACACACTGTTGTGGCCAATTTGGAAAAAAACAACCTGCCATATTTCATTTTTTGATAGGGCTTCGTTAATCTATTTCAGAGTTTTCCAGGCTATTCTGACCAGAAGAAAACTCTTTTCTTTCAAGTAGCCTTTTTATAAATCTGATCCTTGAGGTGAATTCACTGGTAATCATGTGTTAACCTTTTTTTTCATTTACTTTTGGCATTAAAAAATAACCTTTTTTATTTTCAAAAACTACATTCAGGTCTAATTATGAATAAGTTGTCATTATCAGATGTGATTCATTTCTGAAAATATGTTTTTAAAACAAATAAACAATAGGGATGGATGTTGTGTTTGGTGGGGAGAGGATGGCTCTGAGATTAAAAAAACAAAACAAAAACAAAAACCCACAAAAACAAAACAAAACATTGCCCCTGCCTGAGATGCTTTGCTCAGGTAGGGGTATCGAACTCAATCAGAGAAGGGGCCAAAATCTAAAATCCAGCCTAAATCACGGGCCGAATGGTTTACTGAACAGTCATAAACTGTCATTGTGATGAAAACGCAGCGGAGTGCAGTGATGACAGCGCGGTGCGGGCCACATTGCAAGGCCTGGCGGGACGGATTTGGCCCGCGGGCCTTGTGTTTGACACATGTGAAGCATTGGCCTGTGGGATGAAGGGTCTAGGGCACATGTGTCAAACACAAGGCCCTCGGGCCAAATCCGTCCCGCCAGGCCTTGCAATGTGGCCCCCACCGCGCTGTCATCACTGCACTCCGCTGCGTTTCCATCACAATGACAGTTTATGACTGTTCAGTAAACCATTCGGCCCGTGATTTAGGCTGGATTTTAGATTTTGGCCCCTTCTCTGATTGAGTTCGACACCCCTAGTCTAGGGTTTGATTCTGATCTCCTTCTTTGGTTGCAGACTTGGTAGGGACACATGTAGGAGGCAAGAGACACGTGTGGGAGGCAACCAATCAATATCAATGTTTCTCTCTTTGTGTCTTTCCCCCTCCTTTCCACTCTTTCTAAAAATAAATAGAAAAAATATATTTGAGGTGGGGGATGGTGGTGGTGGTGGTGGTGGTGGTGGTGAGGATTAACAACAACGACAAAAACTGCCTCTGACCATGTGGTAATGAATTAGAATTGGAGACATCTTCATGAACTCATGTTAAGCTTAATATAAATTGTTAAATAAAAAATATTTACAGATATGTGTATGTTCACGCATTAGTGTAAACATATTTATTTCTTTGCTCCATCAGCTAAGAGGGCCTAGAAGCAATGACATTCTAGCGTCAATGAGCAGACCCGGCACCCTGCTTTTGGTTTCTAATGTCATTTTTAGAAGAAACCAGAGCTTCTTACAGAGATGACTGATTCTAGGGTTGAACAGGAAGGATACAAAATAATTCTGGAGTATCTTGTTAGTGCCAGGAAGTAAGGAAGTGCTAAAGAACAGACAGACAAACAACAAACCAACATTGGTGGGATATGTCCAATGTGTTGGCCATATAGCTGTTCATAACATTTTCTTATAATCCCTTGTGTATCTGTGGAATAAGTTTTCACTTCTCCTTTTTCATTTCTGATTTTATTTATTTGGGTCATCTTTCTTTTTTTCTTGATGAATGTGATGAAAGGTTTGTCAATCTTGTTTATCTTTTCAAAGAACCAGCTCTTGGTTTTATTGGTCTTTTGTATTGTGGGGGTTTTTCAGACTCTATTTCATTTATTTCTACTCTGATCTTTTATCATTTCCTTTCTCCCACTAATCTGGGGCTTTGTTTGTTGTTCCTTTTCTAGTTCCTTTAAGGTTTAAGCGTAAAGTTAGATTGTTTATTTGAGATTTTTCTTGTTTTTTGAGGTAGGCCAGTAATGTTATAAATTTCCCTCAGAGGACTGCTTTCACTGTATCCCATAAATTCTGGGATGGTTGTGTTTTCATTTTCATTTGTTTCAAGGTAGCTTTTGATTTTTTCCTTGATCTCATTGTTAACCTACTCATTGTTTAGTAACATATCATTTAGCTTCCATGTCTTTATGGGTTTTTTTTCGGGTTTTTTTTTCTTGTCATTGATTTTATTTTATTTTTTTTAAATATATTTTATTGATTTTTTTACAGAGAGGAAGAGAGAAGGATAGAGAGTTAGAAACATCGATGAGAGAGAATCATCGATCAGCTGCCTCTTGCACACCCCCTACTGGGGATGTGCCCGCAACCAAGGTACATGCCCTTGACCAGAATCGAACCCAGGACCTTTCAGTCCGCAGGCTGATGTTCTATCCACTGAGCCAAACCAGTTTCGGCTTTTGTCATTGATTTTAGTTTCATACCATTATGGTCAGAGAAGATGCTTGATATAATTTCAATCTTCTTAAATTTATTGAGACTTGTTTTGTGTCCTAACATGTGACCTATCCTATAAAATTTTCCATGTGCACTAAAAGAATATATTCTGATGCTTTGGGGTGAAATGCTCTGAAGATATCAATTAAGTCCATCTGATCTTCTGTGTCATTTGAGGCTGCTGTTTCCTTGTTGATTTTCTGTCTAGATCTAGCCATGGATGCCAGTGGGGTGTTAAAATCCCCTATTATGATGCTATTACTGTTGCTTTCTCCCTTTATGTCCATCAAGATTTGCTTATATATTTAGGTGCTCCTTTGTTGAGTGTGTTATGGTTTAAGTATTGTCCCGACCAGCGGGAGATCAACGTGGGGGCGAGGAGGCACCTAGAAAGGAATGAGGGAGGACAGGAGACGCGAAGAAATGGAGGCAAGACAGGGTTCTGACCAAGCCTCGAATTTTATTGTTGAAGCTACAATATATATAAAGGCTGTAGGGGGAGGGTTGCCGCGGGGACATTCCAAGGCGGGATGGGAGGGAGGGTCGGGGAGGGGACGTTGTAGGGATCTTCCGGAGCTGGATGTGTCGTTAAGCGATAAGTTATCTTTAGCTTCTGGCCAAACCGCCGGACACCTCATGATCTCTGGTGACTGTGAGTTGTAAGAGGAATTGGAAACTTAACTCCCAAGATGGAGTTGTATTTTCTAAGATGGAGTTGCTTGTATCAACTCTGATGCCTCCCAACAAAGTATTCCCATTGCAATGGTGATTATACACGCAACCCACCTTGTTGTATTGGGATGAAGCTCTAATCAACTGACTACCCAGCCAGGGCTGAATGAAGTATCTGTCATTTTCAAGAAGAGATGTTGCCCAAGTGCTCTCTTTACTTTTATAAAATAACATCAGCCCCAGCCAGTTTGGCTCAGTGGATAGAGCGTTGGCCTGCAGACCGGGTTCAATTCCAGTCAAGAGCATGTACCTTGGGGGTGTGCAGGAGGCAGCTAATTGATGTTTCTCTCTCATTGATGTTTCTAACTCTCTATTCCTCTCCTTTTCTCTCTGTAAAAATCAATAAAATGTATTTAAAAATAAATAAAATAAAATAACATCAGGCCCATCAGAACCAAGGAGAAAGTTCCACAAAAGTGTACTCTACCTTCAACCCTGCCAGAAACTGCCCCAGCATTTTCCTGCTCCTTTCTCATGCCAAATTCAAAGATCTTGGCACCAAGACGCGCTAAAGTGTAAGGTATCAACCACGCCTTTCCATCCCCATTCCCCACAGACCCAGGAATGGGGTGTCTGTAGGCCTATAGAGTAGGGGTCTTCTCTGGTCCTTTTTCATGCTATACCAGGAGTAAAAGATTCCCCTGGGTCTTTTTGGGGATTTTCAGAAGAGCCCCAGGACTAAGGCAGTTCAACCCCCTGTCGGAACTCAGTTTTTTCCAGGACAGTGATTTGGAACCTGACAGATACAAACAAAAGTCCAGTCTTCACCCAGGAACAGACTCTGGGAAGCTGTTCCAGTGCCACAGCAAGGGTTGGACTTCCAAACCCAAGTCACCTAAGCTGGAACCAAGTCTCATCCCCACCCCAACCACTCATTCCAGGCCAGAGGCGCCATAGGCCTCATCAGCAAGCCTCAGACATCTGATGACTCTGAGACCTCTCACTCTGCTCCCTGCAAGGACACACCACACACACACACACACACACACACACACCCTGCAGGCATTCCACACCTGCAGGTCATGGTCTGTTCTAGAAATTGTCAGTGGTGGTGCCAGGTGAAGCAGTGGTGCCAGGGCAGTGAGAGATGAGGGGCACAGCAGAGACAAGAGCCATGGGGATTTGCTAAGGGGCTGGAACTGCCCCAGGCTGTTGTCAGCCCTCAAGAGTGCGTGTACTCCCAGGGAAGACTTCTGCGGCCCCAGTGTTCAGGGACAGGCAGGGTTTGCTATAAAACCAATGACAGCAGGCAAAGAGCTGAAGAGTCTGTTAGTGGCTTCAGCTGAGGACTGTCAATGCAAGACGCTCTGGGTCTGCTTAATGCATGCCAAGGAGGAGTGACTAAATCAGAAGTTCAAGTCCCAGCTTTGC